AAAAAAAAAAAAAAAGTGAGATGCCTGTTGCCTGTGTGACATCCAGGCGGGGCAGCAGGGTGGCCACCCGAGTTTGGGAGGGAGGACTGGAGTTCCAAGTATGAGGGAGATGTCTGCACGACTGATAAGCGTGGGCTGGTTGGTTGATAGATACTAATAGTGTTTAAAACATGCGCCTGGATGCGTCCCCCAGGAGAGTGGGCGTGGACAAAGAAGAGAAAAGGCTGCGTCTACCCTCTCCTGGAAGGGGAGCAGGGAAGGAGCTAATTGCTGACCTGGGACAGGAAGGGATGGGACAGGGCAGGATGGGACAGGGAGGACACTGATGGGCTTGGCAGGAGAGGTGGGTGCGGGCGGGGGGGGGTCCTGACTGCAGCGGGTTCAAGAGAGAACAGCAGGGGGAAACTGACCTTGCCCCGTAAAAACTCTCTCAGGAGGCTTTGCTGCAAAGCGAACAGAGAAATGGGGCAGTATTGAAGAAGGGGAAGTGGTAGGTCAAAAGAGAAACAACCGCGTATTTGTGCTGATGGAAATGATTGCAGAGAGAGAGAGAAACATTGCTGATGTAGGAGGAGGCGGGAGGACTGCAGGCAATAAACAAAGAATTGGCAGGGGGTGAAGCAGAGTAAGGGCAGGGCCTCTCAGGGAATCTGGTCAGGGAGGGCATCTTTGGTAGCTGTCATTTTAGCAGGAACTTGAAGGTAGTGAGAGCAAGCTGTGTGGATTCTGGGGAGAGGGCACTTCAGGGAGAAGAAACAGCAAGTGCGAAGGCCTTGCGGTGGGACTGACTGGTTGCTGAAGGGACAGTGTGGCTGGATCAGAGTGCATGGGGGGCAGTGGTGGGACCTGTGAGTAGACGCAGGCGGAACATGCAGGACCTAGTGGGCCGCACCAAGTAAGGACTTTGGCTTTTACTCTGAGAGAGATGGGACCAGTTGGCAGCTTCTGAATAAAGGCACGATGGGCTCTGCTCTTAACAGATCACTCTGGCTCTGAGCAGAGAACATTCACAGAATCAGGACAAAGGTAGAAGCCGGGGGTTAAGGGGCTGCTGCAGTGATCTAGATGAGAGACCGAGGTGGTCTGGAGAACTGTGTTGATGGTGGAGGTAGGAGAAGTTCTGGATTCTGCATACACAGTCATCCCTCGGGACCCATGAGTGTACCAAAATCTGCACATACTTAAGTCCCACAGTCGGCCCTGTGGAACCGGCATACACAAAAAGTTGGCCCTCCATACACGTGGGTTTTGCATCCTGTGAATACTGTATTCTCAGTGCAAGTTTGGTTGAAAATGATCTGCATATAAATAGACCTGGGCGGTTCAAACTGTGTTCAAGGGTCAACTGTATTTCAAGGGCGGAGGCAGCAGGGTTTGCTGGCGCATTTGGTGACGAGTGTGAGAGAAACAGAGGAGTCAAGGATGACACCAGGGTTTAGCCAGAGCACCGGGCACGATGGACATGCCCATGACTGAGACAGGGAAGACCAAGAGCCTGACTGTCAGGACTCACCCAGGTGCATGGCTAACATACCCTTCATTGGCTAGTGAGCCCACACTCACCAGTGCAGACATCTGCCTCATCTTAAGGCTCTTATTCGCCCAAGTGGAGGTGTCGGATGGGCCACTGGATACTTGAGTCTAGACTTTGTAGGAGAGGCTGGGGCTGAGGTATGTCAACTCGGGGCAGTCAGAGAGCAGCAGATGGCCAGTAAGGCCGTCAGACTGATGAGCTCACTCAGTGACTGTGGCTGGAGGGGAGAAAAGGTCTGCATGCACCTCATGAAAGCATCCACCTGCGAAATCCAGACCTGCCCTCTGCCAAGGAAGAAAGTGGCCCAGAGTTTTGGACTGTCCGGGAAATCGAATGGGCTGAGGAGGGGGCTCCATTTCTTCAAATGGAGCAGGCTGCACATGTGCCTCGCACCTGGGGTCTGGGTAGAGCCTGGTAGCTCGCCAGAAAGGACAGAGTTTGCATGCTTCGGGTGGCAAAAGCCCTTCGCCTGGAGCACTATTTAGGGTGTTAAATTGGATGTGCCCCTTGTGAGATGTTACTGGGATGGTGTCTGAGAGCAGAAGAGGATTCACTAGGCCAAAGGTCTGAGAAAAACATGCCTTGAGGGCATCTTCCAGGATTTACTCCCACGACCTCTGTCACTGGGGCTGTGTCATTGGCTAATTAGTACCAGCAACTCTTACATAGCAGTTCCGATGGGCTATGTGGATGTTCTACTTGCATTTGTGTAGATTAACTGACTTAATCCTCACCACAGCCCTAGGAGGCAGATTCTATTATAACCAGCCCCATGCTGCCCACAAGGAAACTGAGGGATGGTGAGGGTACGGGACAGTGGGGGAGCTGGGATGTGGACCCATGTGCTCGCTCTGTGCCCCACGTGGTGCCCTGTTGCCTCGAAATTGCAATAACAAACAAAAGGGTGTTGCCTGTGGGATGTCATTCTGTCCCTGCAACCAATCTGTGAGCCGGGCCCATAATTCTGGTTTTGCAGAATGGAGAAGTGGTCACGGAGCTAGCGAGAGGCCAAGCCAGGCCTCCAGGTAGCCAGTCGGTCTCCAGGGCCTTACCCGGGACCATGTCCCTGTCCTGCTGGTCTTAGAGGCGAGCACCGGGCGTCCCATGAGATTTAACATCCCATGGCTTTTGGCACTGCCTAGAAGTCTGGATAAGATTTAAACGCTATAAGTCCCTCCAGAACCTCCTCTGGGCTCTGAATGGCCTGCTGCCTCTCTCCTGGGCACAGTGCTCGACTTCCTGGCCTTTCCCACCCTGTTAGGGGCTGGGAGGGCAAGTGGTTTAAACACAATCTTGTGAGAGTACAGTTTAGCTCCCGCAGGGCCTTGGCTGGGGCTGGGCACCAGCCCGGGGGACAGGTTGAGGGAGAGGACCCGCCTCAGGCCCCCCCTGGACATCTTCATAGGACGGGAAGCCCCTTCAGGATGGCCAGGTCCTGGAGTCCCTTTTACATATAGATGGGGAAACACAGGCCGAGTGAGGACAGGGGACTCACAGCACATCACACGGGGAGTCTGTGGCAGAGGCAGGAGCAGAGGCAGGACTTGGCCTTGGGTCACTGGACTCCCGTCCCAGGCCTGAACCATCCCTCTGCTTCTGGCTGAACCCTTCCCCTGGAAGGAAGCTGCCCCACACACCCTGGCTGACCCCTTCCTGGCACACTTTTTGCAGAGTCCTGGAGACTGGCTGAGGACTGGTTGCCATAGAGATGGCTTGTGGGGCAGTTCCACAGCCAGCAGGTGGGGGTGGAGGATGGGGCAGGACACCAATATGCTAAACACCCACCAGCAGTTGGTCAGGACCACATCGGGGAGACCAGGGCAGGACACGAGGCTTCAGGCTATGGGGACAGGCATAGGACTACTCAAGCTTCTGTCCAGCATCCCCCAAGTGGAGCTGGTGAGGGAGGCCGGTCAGGGGCTTCCAACTGCCCAGCGCCAGGTAGGCTGTCGAGGTCAGGGAGGCCAGGGCTGGGGGAGGCTCTTGAGGAGCCACAGCCTGGAGCTGAGGTCCAGGTGCAAGTCAGGGAGGCCTGAGCGGGGAGGGACCACGGGGGGCCTAAAGGATGTGGGGTGAAGACGAGGCATGATGCCCGGGGCTGACTCCCAGGGATGATGGAATGAGTGAGGGAGCACCGCCGGAGGAGCAGGGTTTCAGGAAAGCTGAGTTCCTTCCGCCTTGACTGTAGCAGGTCCAGGGCCCTACGGGACATTTGGAAGCTCAGTCCAGGGCCTGGAAGCAGCAGAGTGCCATGGTGACAAATCTGGGCTCTCAGCAGCTGTGCGATCTTAGCTACTTGGCCTCTCTGAGCCACAGTTTTCTCTGTGTGATGAGGATGACAGCGAGTATCTACCTCTTAGGGTCCTAAGTCTGTTAACGTGTGAAAGTCCTGAGCACAGGGCAGGTGCTCCGTAAACGGTGCCTGTTGTCACTTCAATATGCAGAATGGAGGTAGCGATCAGTCAGTCTTAATGGGAACGAGGGCCCAGAAGGGCCCGGCCAGCGTGCACAGAATCCAGGGCCGCTTGGAGGAGGAGCAAAGTGATCCAGGAAGACCACTTTGCTCAGAGCCGGCCTCCCCTCCTGTCTCTGCCCAGGAGAGCCGGGGGAGTGGCGACAGAGTGCCAATTCAGGGCCGGCAGCAGAGGTCGCAGAGCGTAGGGCAGACGGCAAAGAAGGACCGCAGGCCCAGGGGTCGGAACAAGAAAGGACAGGGCTCCGCTGAGGCTGAGGAGTAAGGAGCGGTGGATGGGCTGGGAGGGGGCTGGGCGTCAGGTCCCGCTGGGGGCTGGCATGGACACTGACCCCCACCCTCTCCTCCCTCTTCAGTCTCTTCCCCCCTCCTCCTCGGAAACCCTCTTTCCCCTTCCAGTGGGCCTGGGAGAGCTTCACCACAGATGGCCAGGCTCTGCTTCAGCCAAGATCCCCTTCGGCCCCTGGCCACCAAGCCCTGCCCCGGTCCCGCGTGGCCCCCCAGCGCAAGTCCAGGCCCCAGTCCACGGCCAACCCCCCAGAGGAGCAAAACCTGGAGAGGAGGGAGCAGCTCGGGGCCTGGGGTGGCATCCCCATCCCTCCTGGCAAAGAGGACAGCCAAGGGCCAGAGCCACCCAGTGAGTGTGGCCTCTGGCCTCCTGGGAAGAGGTCAGGATCAGGATCGGAGTCTGAGGAGGCTGCTGAGCTGGAAGGGCCAAGTGCTGAGGAGGGTCTGAGCCCTGGGGAACTGCTCCAGCTCCCCAGGAGGGGGTCAATCATGGAGGAGGAGCAGTTCTCAGAGGCCACAGAGGAGGGTGAGGAGGAGGAGCACAGGGCCCCTCCCAGAAGGAGCAACAGTTCTCAGAAAAAGGGGCAGAATTCTGGAGAGGAAGCCTTGGATGAGGGGGAACTGCAGGGCCAGAGCCCGGGAAGCAGCTCCAGCCCCAACAACCTCCAAGAGCCGCAGAGGAGGAAGCTGGGCGCCAAGGAGCGGGACGGGCCCGGGGAGCGGGACGGGCCTGGGGACCTGGAGAAGCTGCACGGGCAGCTACAGCAAGACTCCTACTGTGGTGAGTGTGCGGCTCAGTGCCTGGGTCCCCCGGAAGCTACATGGTGTGGAGAGCAGTTGACAGCCCATGACCTGGGCCAGGAGTTCTGATGGGGCTGGGCTGTTCTGGGTGTTGGGTGGGATGGCCAAGTTCCTGACTTGGTCCCACTGTGGACAGGCCCCCCAAAACATCCCTGCAAGGCTTTGCGGGCTGCTTTCCAGGCCTCCAACCAGAGTGGGAAAGCCCAGGCCTCGGGAGATGAAACCTTCCCGTTTGCCAACTTCCCTAATCGCACCTTCCAGAAACGACATGAGGCCACCAGGTACGGGGGAAGAGCAAAGGGTGGGAGCTGAGGGCGAGGAGTAGGAGAGAAGCTAGATCTCCAAGAGACACTTAGTCATTCATACTCTCACTCATCCCTTTATTTATCCGTTCACCAATCTATCTTTCTGATTGCCCAATTATCTATTCATCCATCCATCCAGATAGTGGTAACATCCATCCAACCGTTCATCCATCCATCCGTCTACTTGGCCAACTGGCTATTGACACAAGCCACTTTTATTCATTTCTTCTACTTGTCCATTAATCTATTAACTAAGTGACTAATGCAACCTATCTTGAGTATCTGCTCATGGGCCTTCAGGATATAAACATCAAAAGACTTGGCACCAGCCCCGAGAAGCTCAAGGTCTGGAAAAGGAGACAGATGGCAATTATATCAGTTCAGGTAGATAACTGCTACACTTGGGCTTGAACAAGAGACAGTGGGAGCAGACGAGGAAGGTGGGATGCTGTGAGGAGGCTGTTGGCAAGTCTAGGTGAGGGACGATAAGGGCCTGATACAGGTGGCCCTGTGGATGGAGAGGGCGGATCCATTTAAGAGACATTTAGAGGTGGCTCAGTGGGCCTTGGTGACTGGTTAGAAACGGCATGAGAGGGAGGGGGAGATTCAGCATTCTTACAGCACCCCTCAATTCTTCAAACTTTATTTGACAAATAAAAATTGTATACATTTATAGTGCACGTTTTGAAATACATATACATTGTGGAATGGCTAAATCAAGCTAATTAATTAACGTACGCATTACCTCACATACTTATTTTGTGGTGAGAACACCTAAAATCTACTCTTTTAGCAATTTTCAAGTATATAACATAGTTATTAACCATACACACCATGTAGTACAACAGATCTCCTGAACTTATGCCTCCTGTCTACCCGGAGTTTCGTGTCCTTTGACCAACATCCCCCCATGCCTCCCCTCAAACCCACCCAGACCCTGGTAACCACGATTCTCCTGTCTGCGTCTATGGGTTTGACTGTTTTAGATTCTACGTATAAGTGAAACCACGTGGTATTTGTCTTTCTGTGCCTTGCTTACTTCGCCAACATCATGCCCTCCAGGTTCATCCATGTTGTTGCAAATGGCAGGATTTCTGTGTTTTTTAAAGCTGACTAGTATTCCGTTGCGTATGTATACATTTTCTTAAATATTCATGCATCCGATGATGGACATTTAGGTTGATTCCATGTCTTGGCTACAGTGAATATTGCTGCAATGAATGTGGGAATGCAGATATCTCTTCAACATACTGATTTCACTTCCTTTGGATATGTGCCCAGAAGTGGAACTGCTGGATCACATGGTAGCTCTATTTTTAGTTTTACGAGGAAACTCCATGCTGTTTTCCACAATGGCTGTATGAATTTACATTCCCACAATCAGTGCACAAAGGTTCCCTTTTCTTCACATCGTCACCAACACTTATCTGACAGATGAGACGTGATATCTCATTGTGATTTTAATCTGCATTTCCCTGATAGTGATTTGAATATTTTTTTAATGTACGTTTTTGGCCATTTGTATGTCTACTTTTGGAAATGTCCGTTCCGTTAAAGCCCTTTGCCTTTTGTTTAGAGAGACAGGGTCTCACTCCTAGCCTCAAGTGATCCTCATGCCTCAACTTTCTGAGTAGCTGGGACTACATGCACAGGCCACCAAATTCAACTAATTTTAAAACATTTTTTTTTTTTTTTCAGACAGAGTCTCACTCTTTTGCCTGGGCTAGAGTGAGTCCCGTGGCGTCAGCCGAGCTCATAGCAACCTCAAACTCCTGGGCTCAAGCGATCCTCCTACCTCAGCCTCCCGAGTAGGTGGGACTACAGGCATGCGCCACCATGCCCGGCTAATTTTTCTATATATTTTTAGTTGTCCAATTAATTTCTTTCTATTTTTAGTAGAGATGGGGGTCTCGCTCTTGCTCAGGCTGGTCTCGAACTCCTGAGCTCAAACAATCCACCTGCCTTGGCCTCCCGGAGAGCTAGGATTACAGGCGTGAGCCACCGCGCCCAGCCTAATTTTAAAACATTTTTTCATAGAGACAGGGTCTTACTTTTGCCAGGCGGTCTTGAACTCCTGGCCTCATGAGATCCTCTGGCCTCTGCCTCTCAAAGTGCTGGGATTACAGGTATACAGGCATGAGCCACTATGCCCAGACTTTTTTTTTTTTTTTAAGAGACAGGGTCTTGCTATGTTGCCCAGGCTGGCCTCAAACTCCTGGGCTCAAGTAATCCTCCTGCCTCAGTCCCCCGAGTACCTGGGACTACAGGTAGATGTTAAGCCACTGCACCTGGCTTCTTTGCTCATTTTTAAATTGGGTTATTTGTTTTCTTGCTATTGAGTTCTTTGAGTTCCTTATATATTTTTGGATATTAACCCTTGTCAGATGTATGGTTTGCAAATATTTTCTCCCATAAGTAGGTTGTCTCTGCACTCTGTTGACTGGTGCCTTTGCTGTGCAGCAGCTTTTTAGTTTGATGCAATTTCATTTGTCTCTTTTTGCTTTTGTTGCCTGTGCTTTTGGGGTCATATCTAAATAATCTTTGCCCAGACCAATGTCATGGAGCTTTTCTCCCACGTTTGCTTCTAGGAGTTTTAGTTTCAGGTCTTAAGTCGTTAATCCATTTCGAGTTGATTTTTGTATAGGGTGTGAGATAAGGGTCTAATTTCATTTTTCTGCACGTGGACATCCCGTTTCCCAACACTATTTATTGAGGAGACCGTTCCTTCACCATTGTGGATTCTTGGTATCTTTGTCAAAAACCAACTCACCACAGCTGGGTGATGTGGTGTACACCTGTAGTCTCGGCTACTCAGGAGACCGAGTCTGGAGGATTGCTTGAGCCCAGGAGTTCGAGGCTGGGTGCGCTATGATTGTGTTTGTGAATAGCCACTGCACTCCAGTTAGACCCTGTCTCTAAAACAAAAACAATAAAAAACAACAAATCAATTGATTTGTTGAGAGAGCTTAGAAATAAAGGCAGAGATGTATTTCTAAGCTCTCTCTTCTCTTCCATTGGTCTCTACGTCTGTTTTTATGTCAGAACCATGCTGTTCTTGATTTCTATAGCTTTGTAGTACATTTTGAAATCAGGTCATGTTATGTCTCCTGCTTTTTTTTTTCCTCAAGATTGCTTTGGCTATTTAGGGTCTTTTGTGATTCCTTATGAATTAAAGATTATTTTTTCTTTTTCTGTGAAAAATGCCATTGGAATTTTGATAGGGATTGCATTAATTGTAGATTGTTTTGGGTAATGGGGACATTTTTAATAATATTAATTCTTCCAAAGTACCCTTCAATTCTTACCTTGTCACTTGCAGCATGAAATACTTCCATGCTTCCCAGAGCCTTGGGAAGCCCAGACTCCTTGGTAACAGGACTCCTGTCCCCACATCAGCTGGTCAGGGTGTCTGGACTGCCCCATGTCCTCCCTCCCTGCTGTCGAGGGACTGTCCCTCCTTGTTCACCCAGCTAACTCGGATGCGCCTTTCAACTCCCAAGTCAAACGTCTCTCCAGGAAGCTCTTCTCTGTGCTTGCCTCCATGCCAGCACTCGACACACTATGTTGCACTGGGGTGCAGGACTGTCTGCCCACCCACGCCCACAGCCTGAGGGCCCCCTTGGGGCAGGTGCCAGATCTTAGTGATCATGGCCTCCCGGGTTCCCTGCACAGGACTGGGCACATAGTTGGTGCTCAAGAAACACGCACGGAGTGAATGACTGCTTCTACCCCTTTATTTGTCTGTCTGGCCATCTTTCCATCTGTCCATGATTTGATTATGCATGAATTCACCAAGTATTGAGTTTCAGGATATCTTAGGCACTGTTCTAGGTGCCGGGGATATATTGGTGGTGAACAGGACAGGGAACCCTGATCTCACGAGGCTTACGCTCTACTGGTGAAGAAGATGATTAATAAAGATTAATGGAATGTGTAGCTAGAGATGGGAGACACCTGGGAGAAAGATGTGGCGGTGAGGGAAAGGTTGAGAATGACATTTGAGCAAAGACCTGATTGACAGGAAGGAACTGGCTATGACTGGGAACATGGGATGTCACAGGTTGATCCAGCCGCTGTTCGAGCACCCACACCTTTCATCCTCTGTTCTTCTGCCCATCCATCCTTCTCCATTTTGTTTCTCTTTCTGTCCACCCATTCAACTTTGCCTCAAAACCACAGGCATTAACCTAGCTCCTACCAGATAAGGGGTCAGAGAGAAGAACGAGATCCGACCCCTGTCCTCAAGGAGAGCTCTTTGCCAGGGGAGGTTAGCAATGCAAGTGGGTTGCTAACACAGGCTGTGTGCTGAGCTCCACAGTGTCTCAGGAAACCTGGGCTGAGGAAGTTCAGAGTTGGAGCTCTCTGCTTGCTGGGGTGAGCAGCATGAATTCACCAAGTATTGAGTTTCAGCAGATCTTAGGCCCTGTTCTAGGTGCCAGGTGCTCCGGGTGTTCTAGGTGCTCTTTCCAGAAAGAGTAGGGAAAGGCCTTGAGCGGGGCCCGAGGGCCAAGCTGCAGGGGCAGTTTCCACCACATTAAACTTCCATGACAACCCCCATTCCCAGGACCTTGGCTCTCTGGATCCTGCAGCCCCTCCCCTCAGGCTCCCATACTCCCCCACCGGGCCCCTGGCCCTCTTTGAGGCTCCTGCTCCCTTACAGACCTGTCCCATCCCTCCTGCTTCCTTCTCCCCCACCAAAGAAGCCTGCTGCAGGCCTGGGAGCGGCAGCAGCAGGCGGAGCGGCAGCAGGCTGAGCAGCGGCGTGCCCGGGAGCAGCGGGTGCAGAAGCAGGTGGCCCGCTGCTTGGCAGCCTACAAGCCCAAAGGGAGCCCGGGGCCCAGCGCCACACAGCGCAAGCTGGAGGAGCTAAGGTAGGGAGCCGGGGCTGTGGGGGAGCTGGTGGGGAGAGGGCAAGGAGGTCATGCTCAGTCTCAGACCACAGGACCAAGCAGACCCAGCCCTCGCCTTCCCTGGGGCTGGCCAGGCCACTTCTCCACATTTTACAGATGAGGACACTGAGGCACAGGGAGGAGAAGGGGCAGGTCCAAGGTCACCAGTTAATAATAACAATCCCTGCAGCTATCAATGCCCAAGGTTAACATGTCCTACAAGCATCACCATACTTTCAAACCTTATTTTTCTTTTCTTTTTTTTTTTTTTGAGACAGAGTCTCACTCTGTTGCCCTGGCTAGAGTGAGTGCCGTGGCGTCAGCCTAGCTCACAGCAACCTCACACTCCTGGACTCAAGCGATCCTACTGCCTCAGCCTCCCAAGTAGCTGGGACTACAGACATGCGCCACCATGCCTGGCTAATTTTTTCTTTATATTTTTAGTTGTCCCATTAATTTATTTCTATTTTTAGTAGAGACGGGGTCTCGCTCTTGCTCAGGCTGGTTTCGAACTCCTGAGCTCAAACAATCCGCCTGCCTCGGCCTCCCAGAGAGCTAGGATTACAGGCGTGAGCCACTGCGCCCAGCCTCAAACCTTATTTTTCTGATTTCCAATGCCAGACACGCTTATTATACAATTTCAAATACTACAGAAATAGTGAATATAGACGGTGAACAGACCTATGATCCCACTCCTGGAGACAACCTTTGTTCATGGTCAGGTGAAGAGGCATCTGTTTTATTCTCTTCCTATATTTTGACTATTTTCCTAGAAAGCAAATTTGTGGGTCAGGAAAATCTTTTTTAGACTCCCAACAGGCCCATGAAGTAGTTAGTATCACGACTTCCGTATTTCTACAGATGAGGAAACCGAGGCTCAGAGAGCTTAAATAATTTGCTAATGGTCACAGGTGAGCGGCAGAGCTGGGGGGGTTCCAGCCACTTGGCTCCCCTGCCTCTAGGTGCTGAAATGCCCAGCCTTTAGACAGAGGACACCATGACCTTCCCCCAAGAGCCCGGCCTAAGGAAACATGTAACACAAATAAACATGATCACCGATGTCACTGATTTGAGCACCTACCGTGTGCAGCTGGCACAGGACAGCCCTTTTCACGGCTCATCTCCTTTGTTCCATGGCAAATGCCCTGCTGTGGAGAGAGAAGAGGGTTTCTGGCCTGCAGCAGGGCCGCGGAAGACTCAGCAGGGCTCCGATCACTTACTCTTTGAGGCTCAGTTTTATCACCCCAACTTTACAGATGAGGAAACAGAGGCTCTGAGAGGTCAAGTGCGTTTTAGGGAAATCCTTGGCCAGTGACTGGGGAGATGCCTCCTTCTTGCCCGGCCTCAAGCTAATCATTTGTTTTTCTAGTAAGGCAGGAAGTGTAAGGTTCAGAACTCTAAGCAACAGGTGCAGCAAGAAGAGTGTTTCAAACTCGCTCCTTTTATTTTCTACTTGAGACGGTTGAGGCACAAGCAGATATCTCCCACTCGGGCTTTCAGCCCTTACAGCCTGTGAATTTGCTGAGTGGGCTAGGAGACTCCACCCTGCCCAGGAAGGTGGGCACAAAAGAGGTTGTCCTGTGGCGGGGAGGGATGTGTCTTCCTTTCACTCTGAGATGACGAACGGGGCTGACACCCACTGGCACCACTTCCTTTTCTGCTCAGAGCTCCAAGACATGGGCTTCCTTTCTTTTCTTTTTTTTTTTTTTTTAAGACAGGGTCTCAGCTGGGCGCAGTGGCTCACGCCTGTAATCCTAGTATTCTGGGAGGCTGAGGCGGGAGGATTGCTCAAGATCAGGAGTTCGAGACCAGCCTGAACAAGAATGAGACCCCCATCTCTACCGAAATTAGAAACAACTGGCCAGTGTGGTGGCACATGCCTGTAGTCCCAGCTACCCGGAGGCTGAGGCAGGAGGATCACC